TGGAACATGTTGATCAAGTATCCTGAAAAGCTTTAGTCAAAATTTTTGTTTAATATTCTTGGTCTGATTTCAGGAGTGTTTTTCTCACAATAAATTTACAGGTATTATGCTACAATGAATAAGTTAGCGATATGTTGTGTGTATGTAAGCTAATTCAAGGTTCATTGACCATGATAGGGTTTCTAAGAGTGCTTATTCTCAAACGATACCTGAATGTTGTGTCAGCTTTGTGTGTGAAATTAAAGCTGCTGTGCAGTAGACTGTGACCAGTGTTTAACTTCAGAACTCAAATCTGAATACAGTGCATATTGGTCACTCTCATAAGGGTCACTTGAAATGTGAACCTTTGGTTGGGGGTTTGTGATTTTAATAAAACAGATTTTGAGACTGTTTAGAATAGTACAATAGTCCATTGTTTAAGGAAACAAGACGGGAGATGTAGTTCCAGATTATTCTCCTTAGTTGCATGGTAAAGAGTCTGGTGAATGTGAAGTACCGTTCTGGTGAATGCAAGCTACTGCCCTATTTAAAAAGTATTAGCTATTTTATGCTGTTCAGTCCCTTGAACATCTTGTTACATGCACTAGATTTCTTCAGAAAGATAATTTTAGCTATATTTCTCTTATTCACTGGGGTCTTTAATACTTGAAGGCAGACTGGTTAAAGTAGACTTGTTGCTTAAAGGTGTAAATATTTCCAGTTAATTTTAAAAAATCCTTTGTTTTGCAGAGTTGTCAGAAGTACTGTGGGAAATGGTAATGAGAGTGGGCCTTCGTGTGGATGCAGCATACGGCATCTTACTGCTAGTTCCAATTTTAGCCTTTTTTGCTGTGTTAACAATATTCATCCTTTTGATCATGGAAGGCCTTTCTGCTTTTCTTCATGCTGTGCGACTTCACTGGTAAGTATTAACTTTCATGGTAAAACATGGTGACTTTTCCTGCATGTTGGGTTGATCAAGGAATCTTATTGGGTCAAAATGGAGGTCGCTTATGGGGTTTTTTTTTATTTTTTATTTAAAGAGACAACTTAAACAATTACTGGTGATAGAAACTTTTCATTACATTAAGTAAAAGGTTCACTGGAATCGGCTTTATAGGTACAATTTAATCATTAGCTTGTAATATTTGCACCCACTCCACAATTGATTATTTTCAAAGTTGAGTTTGACACAAAATATAAGCAAGGAAGTTGGGCAACTGCAGTAAGCATCTCATGTAGATGCACCCACTGTCTTGTGTTTTGAGCATCTTGCCCCGTCCTCTGTGAGCCAGTTATTAACATGCACATCCTTTTTTGTCTTATTACAGGGTGGAATTTCAGAACAAGTTCTACATTGGTGGAGGATACAAGTTTACTCCTTTCTCCTTTAAATATATTTCTTTATATTTTAATAAAGATGATGTTGCATAGTTTGGTTGCATGAAAACAGAAATATTCAGAGGTGTTTGCAAATCATGTAATTGGATCTCACTGACTGTAGAGATTGTTGAAGAAAAATGTGTTCACTGATTGCCTTAATACAGCCAAATAATTCAGTTATATACCTCCATGCAAGTACGTTGCAGACCTGGAGCCTTCTTGTATATAGGCATAATGTGTACTTTTTTAAATGAGAAACTAATGTAACTTAATTTTAAGGTTATTCTAAAAATAGTCCCTTTGTTGTTCATTCTGCAAATAATTTAGGAATTGTTTGGTCAGAAGAGACTGTTTTGTTTTCTTTAATAGCTAATTTAAATAATCTTAAAGGTCTTAATCTTCTTATCACATAAAATATTCTGCATGGCTCATGTAATGACTTTCCCGGACAAAAAAACAACTGATGAAATCTGGAAGCGATTCAGGTTAGGCAATGTATGTTTTCAGTATTCATTCCAGGATTGCTAAAAGCAGTATAAATCAGTATAAAGTGTTTATACCAGTATGAAATGCCTTTTTTGCTTTTGTCTATTTTTTAAAAATTGCATCAAAACTTTTTTACTTCATGCTCTGAATTCTGCCCATAATTATTACTCTACTTTTTCCAGTTACCCAAACTACCATTTCATTTGATAAAGAGTAAAATGAAGGGCAGGGAAAGAAGACCCCCAGCTACACTTTTTATCCCCCTTCCTTGAGGAGTTCAGTGTTGCAGACCAGTTCTGCCAGGTGATCTATGTGGAACCCCACTGGCTTCATAGGGACCGTGCAGAACATCTTGCAGGATTAGAGCTTTTGTGCGATGCATTTAAAACAGACTGACATTGTATGTGTATTAGAAATTGCTTTGTTAGGCTCTGATTCTGTAGTCCTGTTGCATGCAAAATTCCCATGCTTAAGGAATGCAGAATAAGGATTTAATTTATTTTATGTTTGTATTTGGCATTAAAGGTATTTATGGATTTAACTTGACTGGTTTATCTGAAGTTGTTGAACCAAAGTTGTTTATATAGTAAGTGGAGATGGGTGGGAAGGGAAGGGGTGGAGTGAGGGAACCTTTGGTATATTTTTATAGCAACATGAAAACTGGATATGTTACCAATACAGGTTTGACTTCTGTGCCATAAGAACAGCGTAAGATGCATCCTACATTCCTGTTTCATATTAATTCCAAATAAAATCTAACTGTTATATTTAGGACCAGTATTCTGCAATGTTTGTTTGGTTGTATTTAATTTACAGTTAGCTCTTATCTTACCAACATTTTGTCCTAGATAACTTCAATTTCTGTTCTTCATTTACACATTTTAAATGAATTTCACACTAGCATAAAAAGGTATTAGTTAGCGGGTTTTCTACATCTCATTTTCACTTAGATTAGATTTGCCCAACTGTAAAGAAGTAATTTTCAGTTGTCATAGGAGAAAAACTTCACTTGACAACCATCTTTCAAATAAAAATAGAGAATTTTTTTGACTCAGTGTCTACATCAGTTTTATTTTTCTGTTAGTTACAACACTGGCTGGATCTCTACGCTCAGGTGCATAGGACAGAGGATTGGAGCCACTGGGTTTGATCCTTTGCCTTGGCAGTCAGTTTTCCAAACCATCCTGCTTTGCCTGCTCCTGCGCATCACAACCACGACAGTAGAAAAGCTGGGTTTCTTCTTGAGCTGTCCTGTCCCCCACTGTCCCTTATTGCCCTCCCCACCCCATCCTTTCAACACTCTTGTTACCTTTTCCAAAACTGCCAGTAGCTGCTTCCTGGTCTCTGGAAGCCAGTTGCTGCAAAACTACTTTCTGTGGGAGCAGTGACCTCTCCCGAGTACAAGGGAGAACTGCAAGTAACATCCACTTCATGCATTCAGTTCGGACGATCAGTGGTTCTCAACCTTGTTAAGACTCCAGGCGCCCCTCACAAAATGCCAGGTCTTACTTTTCTGTGGTCAAAAAACAAGTGAAAACTAATGGAGCAGTCCTTCTGTTGGAACGAACTCAGAATACGGAAGGACATCCCTAAGAGGAGGGACTAGAGGCTGGTCCTATTCAGTTCAGAAAGGAGATGCTTGAAGGGGGGCGTTATAAGGGTCTACAAAATGGTAAATGGTGGAGAGAAAGTCAATAGGGATGTATGATTGACCCTCACCAGATGAGAACGAGGGGTCAGAAAGCGAAACGAGTCAGCAGCCAGTTTAAAATTAAACATGCAGATGTTGTTTGTCACCCAGCATGTCACTACTGTGTGGGACTTGCTGCCACCAGGTGTGGTGGAAGCTGATGGCCTTGCCAGGCTCCAGAAGGGGCTGGACACGTTCTGGGAGGTGAGGGGCATCTGGTGCTACTGAGCACGGGTACGAGGGGCATGGCCTCTGAATCAAAACCTCCTAGACCCGAAATGCTGCCAGCGAGAGAGGAACAGAGGAAAAAATCCCAGGCAGACCCAACTCGATCTCCCTTTCCACCCTGCTCTCTGCTACCATGTGCCACAGGAAAAGTGGATGACTATTATTGTGTAGTAGTGCCTTGTTCCTTCAGCTGTCTGGGCTTTTGTACCTCAGAAATGTGCTTGCCTCACATGTTTCAATGCTGCAACATTTTGGGTGGTTATTTGGAAGCAAGGGCTGAGCCAGTGCTTGGACCCCTGGCCGCAGGGCCGGACGCTTCTCCCACCAGTGCCTGATCGGGACGTGCTCCGGCCCTAAGCTGTGTCCAGCTTAAGAGGCCCCATATGATCAAAATCATCCACAAAATACGGATTTTCATGACATTTTAAGAAGAAGTATTTCTGCACAAATTCATGAACTCAATAGGAATAAGAAATGGTGGAGCCCAATAGACATTGGGGGGCCATCATAGAGGACATCCTGGTTTTCTGCTCCTGTCTTCTTTTGGCACAAAACCCAATGCGTTTATGTCCTCTGTTTTTCTCTTCAAGGGGGGACATAAAGGTAGCGGGTTTCATGTCAGTAGAGGACAAAAGGTAACTGGACTGTCCTCTACAATGGCCGCCCTAAATATGTATCTATTTTGTCATAGTAGAATGAAAACGTCCAGTTTCTTCCCTTGTTCAGAGGCCCCTTGCAGTGTGAAGCCCTAAACGGTAGCTTAACCCTAAAGCTATTTTTGTCATAGCAGAAGGAAAAAGTCCATTTCCCACCCCCTTATTCAGAGGCCCCTCATAGCGTGAAGCCCTAAACCGTAGCTGAAGCCTAAATCCAGCACCATCTAACACCGCGGATCCTTGTGTGCGGTCTCGGGGCTGGCATGGGGAGCCGCAGGGGGCCGTGCCCGCAGCCTCCCCGCTAAGGTTGCCCAGGCTCCTACATCTAAATCACTTAGATTTAACAAGCTGTACTGGGGAGGGGGGGAGGTACCACCTTGCATGGCACCCTCCCTCCCTGAGGGGTGTTTTAACTTTTCAGGGTGTGAGGCTGACGGTTGGTGCGCGCCGGCGACCGTTGGGCCTCCCGAGGGACAGTTGGGCGCGCGCCGGCTCCGCCCCCTGGCGGCCGTTGCCAGGGGCAGCGCGCGCCGGCATCGCTTCATTCCAGCTCGCGGCCGTTGCCAGGGGCAGCGCTCGCCGCCGCCGCCATGAGCCTGGAGGACGTGCGGGTGCAGTGGGCGCGGCAGCGGGCGCTGAGCGCGCTGGGGCTGTCCGACCCGGCGCCCTTCGAGGAGCTGCTCAACCGCGGCGACGGCGAGGAGGCGGAGAAGCTGCTGCGCTTCCTCAACCGCAGCGACTCGGGCGAGGAGGGCGCGGCCGCCGCCTCCGCTCTGCTGCTGCGCGCCGAGCTGCGCCACGAGGAGCGCGACGTGGAGATCGGTGAGCGGGGCCGGCTGCGCCCCCACGTGCCAATACGTCTGCAGAGAAACCCTCTTCTTGACTAACCATCGCTCTGGGTCCTCAGACGTGCAGCTTCTCTCTTTCGAGGCACCAAAGCGCTGGCAGCAGTCCCCACAAAGCCCTTTAAGGGCCTGGGGTTTTTTGTAGGGCCTCTAATAAGAATGAAAAACTCGACGTTTTCGTTGTAATATGACAAAAATATACATATATGGCTCCACAGTTATGAGTGAGCTCATATATTTGCGCAGAAATAACAAGAATTTATCTTAAAAATTCATGGAAATCCATTTTTGTGGCTTTTGTGGATTATTTTTATCGTAGGGGGCCTCTTAAATTGGATAGGCCCTCAGCATGTCATCATCCGGCACTGTTACCAGGCGTTCCTGGGATTGTGCATGGGACAGCTGGGGTTCCTGGGATTGTGCTTGGAACCAATGGGACGATGGGGACTCCTTCCCCCAAAGTTTGCATTTCACAATGGTTGTCCTCCCCCCCCCCGCCCCTTACCAGTGCGCCTTCCAGGTACAGCCACATGGGCATCTGTCCATGTCACCTGCGCCCACTGTGTGTCTACACCCCTGTCTTATTGCTGCCCATGCGTCCCCAGCTCAGATTTGTGGGACTCCATCTACATGTGATACTGATGCTTAGTTACTGCGCAATCATTTAGCACTTGTGTATGCTAAAGCCATTCAGTGGTGCTACCGCTCAGTCTCTCCGGTGCAGTGTACGCAAGTACTAAATGACTGCATGGTAATGTCACCACAGTAGCATCTCTGAATGGCTTTTAGGTGACACTGGCTGTGCAGTAGCTCGTTACTACCTCACAGGAGTGTCAGGTCACATGTGATACTACTGTGCGGTAGTAACGAGCTACTGCACAGCCAGCAGGTACCAGGAAGAACATTGTTCCTGTTTTACATGCACCTGTTTTTTGTTCATCATGCTGTATAGAGACATTGGAGACAAGTGCATTTGAAGATGACCAGGAGGAAGGTTCACACAACCCTCTGGAGGATTATTTTGACAGCTCTTTGACTGCAGAAGAAAGTAAGTATGATCATGAGATCTTTCGACAAGTTATAAAGACTCAGGGTTAGGCTTCAGCCAATATGCCCTCAGTAAGATTATCGCGACTTTCAAACCTTCTTAATATAAGGGACATTTTAGATTTGAAATCCAGTCAGTCTAATAAATGTATGTAATAGTTACATTTACTGTACCAGCCTCTGAGTCTCTTTGTTTGGCATTTGCTCTGGAAGCACAAACAACACAGGAAACAAACTCACTGATGATCAACAGAATGCACAATCCCCAAGCAAGAAAAAAGTAGAAAAAAACTTTCCAAATTTCAGCATTAGTGATTATAAATACTGCTTGATCAGTAACAGGTGAGAACTTTTCAGACACAAATGTGATTGTTAATTGATTGTGCTTCTTTAAAGGTAAAGGCAGAGACCTAGTTTACACATGTTATCTTAGTAATGACCTGTCTGAAGTTTCATTTTTCCATCTGCTAATCCCTGTATATGAAAATTACTTTTGAGAATTCTAATTGCAGAGTCCTGGTATTGGGTGTAGGTATTGTAGATATAATGCATTACTGGAACCTTGGTAATAATGCGGATTCATCTGAAATACCTCTCAAAAGGGTTACATTTTGCAAGTCCGTGTAATTTGGTGCTTGATGACTTGGAATGACTTTGACCCTCATAGCTGCTGTGACAGGATGCTCTTCTTACAGAATATCCAGGGTCTGTTTGTGTGAAAGAAGCCCAAGAAGATTCAGAGAAGGATTTTTTGGCTGCCCCTGCAGGGGGAAGTGGCACTCCCCTACCTTCTTCTTGCACACCTGTATGGAAGGCAGTCACAGTGCTGTAGTTTAACAGTCCCTGGGGACAGGGAGGAGCAGTCAGTGCTGCTGAAAACACTATGCAACAAAAGCAATGAGGCAAGTCCCACAGGAGAGGTGACCAGAGTGCTGGCTCTGTAGTGAGTAGGCATAGTGCATGGTGCCATTTCTGCTTAGGCATACAACCCCTTTATGCTCTTTCCCTCCAGCATCTCTCAAGCTGCACAAACTGTGACTCAGCCCTAAATATTTCCCTTGGCTTCTTTACAAGCACACCTGTATGTTTTGAAATGCATCAGATCTATTTGGTCCATAACAAGTCAACTGGAGGCATTAGATGTTTTAAACAAAGGCGTGTGAAAAGACCACACTGTCCAGTTGATATAGGTGTGGCAGCAAAACCCTGACTGTGAACACAGCCTTACCAGTAGCAGAGGGCTTTTTTTGCCTAAGCTTATGGCAGTCAGGGAGCTTTTGTAGCTACAGATGGTAAACTCCCTCCTGCTGGCATATGTCATATCTGCACTAAGGTCTGCACCTGCATAGAGTAGACTAGCCCTTGGGAATACAACTGAGTTTCACTTCTACAAAAACGTGTTAGGAAATGGTGTGATTAATGCAAAACCTGTACACCTGCTTTGTGAAAGAGATCAGTAAAGATGAAAGAAAACGTTTGTCTGTTTAGTCTAGCACTACTGTATAATTTGAATTTGGTTGGTTTGGAGAGTTGATTTTTTTTCCTTCTGTGTGTTGCTTTATTAGAGAGAGAACGGAGAAGCACTTCAGAATATGCAGTCAATAGAACTCTATCAAGAAATCTATCAAGAAACCTATCAAGAAATCTATCAATTCATATGTCACGTTTGTCTTTTGCGTCACGTTTGAGTGAACTGGAGCAGGGAATCCTGAGTGATGCAGGTCGCTTAGTCCGAGTGAGTCTACTGCATTTTACTTTTGTTCTCCTCCTGGGTTTCATAAACTTGATTTTTTTCAGGCAAACTTACACAGTAGTCCAAATGTTTCCTTGAGCAGTATAAAAAACACATGATACAGGTGCACAATTCTCCATCTGAGATTAGACCAATGATTACCAGTGTTTGTCAAGCCTTTGGCAGTGGTTTGTGTCTGCTGGTTCAGAGAAAAATGATCATCCTTTCTCTGTTTACCTGAAAAATTGTGCAGTTTTTAATCCTGATGGTTACAGTGGATGTTACATACTGCACCATTTGCCCTCTGAGGTGTTTGCACAAAGTAGACAGCAAAGTTATAGTTAGTTATAGTCAATAAATATAAATACTGTGGGAAAGAGGCACAAGGCATTTGATCACGGGCTGTTTGTTTACTGTTTCACCTGACTAAGGCAGTCAGGATGGACTCTATTTGAGTTAATTTAATTAGCTTTGTTGAATGAGTTTGTCTTTTCCTGAACTCTCAGTCATTTTTCCTTCTGAGTGATGGGGAATGTGCTTATGTGTTCCTTGAAGACAGCATTCATTGCTATCATGCTTTTCTCTCATTTGAAACAGTCTCTTCTAAATGTCTTGATAGTTTTTTAGCCTTCATTGGTTGTTTCCAAACTGAAATATTTGTGCTTCTACCTCCATGACTTTTTAAAAATGTTGTTTTTGTTTTGGTGCTTCAGTTGGACCAGTAACACAAAGAAAGTGAAGGAACAGCTGTAATTGATTCTGTACCGTTGCTAGAAAAACAAATCTGTCGTGGAAATTGTTTAAGAAACTCTTGCTTTTCATTACATTGCATGTCATTTTTCTTTTGTTTCAGAAAATCATCAAACAGAAAGTTTCCAACCTGTATTTTCATCTGGCTCTTGATGAAATCCCTGAAGAGTTTCTACAAGATGATATTATATTCTTTCTCAGGGATACAGGAGGTATTGTTCATGGATAAATTACAGCCAAACATTTTAAATGTTTACGTTAAAAAAACACTTAATCTAGGACAGAGATTCCCAAACTTTTTCTTATTGTGTACCCCCTTTCAGATTTGCCAACTGCCTATGTACCTCCACCAACGTTTGTTTTATAGTCTAACCCCTTAAATGCCAATTATTATTATAATGAAAATTAAATCTTCTGTTAAATCTGGGGTTTCTCCTGTGTACCCCCCAGAGATGTATTGTGTATGCTCAGGGTTTCATGTACCACAGTTTGGAAACCCCTGACCTGGGAAATGATGATGATTAGGATATTGGACAATGCATATCCAACATGGCCAGGCAAGCATGTTCTCAAAGTGGGATTGTGAGCCAGAAACTTCTGACTTGGGATCCTGGGTTTAACATCAACCCTGTGGAAAGTCACTTTGTCTGTGTTAATCTCTCCATTTTATAGATGGTGATCATCCTTTGTTAAGTTCTTAGAAGATGAAAAACTGTATATGAAAGTTACACTGCTCCTAAATCTCTTATGTGGGCGGAGAATGTTTACATGGGCCCAATTCTAATAAATAGTAGCAGTACATAAAACACAGGTCTTATTTTGACAGTTAAGATTTTATCCTAAAGCCACTGACTGTCTATTCCAAACTGTAGGAACCCTAAATCTAGCCATTGTGTGGTCCAAATCCCTGACCCTGTCTTGGTGGCCCAAAATGTAATCCTAGACTGAGGTTGCCAAATAGCTCTCCCTGGGTGCATCTACACGAGATGCTAAATGCTCAGTAGACTAATTCTACTGCACATTGGTACAACACAGCAAAAAGCATGCTATTTTGCTAATGTGCAGTAGAATTAATCTCCTGTGTATTAGTGTCACTAAAAAAGCATGTGTTGGTTACTGCACATTAAGTTAATACTTGTTATTACAGGTACTAAATGTGTAGTAACTCTGGAGCATTAATGCACATGTAGATGCGCCTCCCGTAACCTAAATGGTGCAACCAGCTAGCCTCAAACCTGCCCCCCCACAAACAACTGGGATTAATACTAACCCTAAACCAGAGTCGGGGAATGGCTTCAATCCATGTCCGAAGGCTCCCAGAAGTTCTATCATTGGAGGTCACCAAGTGGCCCTTGATAAATTATTTTTATTGCAAATTGTTTTCATTTAAATTTTTCTTAAAAAAACCTGAAACATTGTTTTTGTCAAGTTTCACAATTTACAGCAAAAAGATTGGTAATTCTTCAACCAGCTCAGTGGAAGATTCTCTTATTTCCTCTGAAGTGTAAGCAGGAGATTAAAACAGGGCCTCCACCCAGCACTGAGCCACCCTGTAGTTGAACAATAACATTTGATTACTAACGTCCTTTTCTTGAAGTCCATCTCATCTACTTCTGCTGCTTATCAAGGGCATTCATAGTCTTTTCAAGCCTAGAATTTACTCATTTCAAATGCAATTTGTTAGTAGCTATGTTGAACTTTTCAGAGGGCTAACTCTGAATTGTTTTTTTATGCATCACCTCCACGAGCTTTCATTGCTGATTTCTGTACCAAATAATTGATTTTACCCTAATTATTTGTTTTTCTGTCTAGAAACAATAACTGAACCTAATGACATAACTGAAGCTAACGAAGTTCTGCCTGAAATGCTAGAGTTTGGCCTACTGAATGGGCACACTCTCTTGATGCTAAAAAACGTTTTTGCACAGGTATAGGTATTGCTGTTTTTGGGTATGGACTCTTCTGGTGTTTTTATTAGAGGCTCATCCATTTAGTATTCTGCTGACCAAGTTGTCAGGGTACAGTAGATGCTAGTTGGGTTCCCCAGTACCGAGTACATATGAAATGTTTAATTGGGATTTCCTTTCAGTATTTTGTGAAGGGATCTGGCAGGAGCCATAGCTGCATAGTATGGTTCCAGTGTGAGAGAATTTTGGGGACGTAATAAAAAGCCCTTATTTTGTATATGAGAGGAAGTTGAGAGTGAAGGAAGCTTTCAAGTAAGGAATGATGACAGAGCATGAATTCGCAATGGGGGTATTATTCCTCATAATTGAAAAAAGATAAAGAAAAAAAACACATAAAGAAATGAGGCAAAAAGAAACAAAAGAATTGTAGAAAAATAGGACTGGAAAAGACCTCAGGAAGTCACCTAGCCAACCCCTTTCTCAAGGCAAGGAACATCCCCATCATCATCCCAGCACTTGTTAGCCGTACCTTAGTTTTTGTTGTGGCCTTCCTGATTTTCTTCTTATATGCTTGCCTTATCCTCTTATGCTTGTACTTATTTAAATGGGTGTATATTTTTTGTAAGATTCCTTTTCCATCTGTGGTAGATCAGAACTTCCAAGGTTTGTTCACCATACAGTTAACTCTGGGGCTGGTTGTTGATCTTTTAGAGTTGTTAATAACATCCTGTATATCACATGTCTGCATTTCAGGTTTTCTTGCCTGCTTTGTCCCATAATCAGTTTGAAGCTGAGTCATCTGCCTTTAGTCCAGACACTGAAAAGGCAGACATGGAACACAAGCATTTAACTGAGGCTGACCTGTCTGCAAAAAAGGAAGAGCACCTAGCAGCATCTCAGAGTTTTCAGATAATGAGGAATGAGTTCTTAATGAACATGCAAAAATTTCTAAGCCACATTCAACGGACAATACAACAGATTGAAGGCAAGTATTTCTGTCTACCCTAGCCCCCACAGACTCCTACTTTGATTTTACAGTATGCGACGGTGGAAAGAAATTCATCCCTGAATAGGCATGCTCAACTTGTGGTTCTGGAATTGCAAGTAGCTCCTGGAAAGATTCCAAGGTTGATCAGTGTTTTTCTTTTATGGTGACAAGAGCATTGTGTGTTGCTTAAGACAGGGATTTTCAACTGGGGTACTTGGGAAGGCCCCAGGGGGTACGCGGTGGCAACAGTGTGGACAAGCGGGGGTACTCGGGAAGCATGTTACCGCATGCTGCCGCTGGTAGGTACCTCCTGCTGTTGCACACTGTCACCATGTGCCACCATCAGGGGACCTCCCTCCCTCGCTCGTCAACTGGCTGCTGGGGACTACCCCCCTCCCCCCAAGCTCATCAGCCAGCTGCAGTTCATGAGGGGTACCCACCAGAAGGGATACACTCATTAAAAAAGGTTGAAAACCCCTGGCTTAAGACATTTGGAACAGTATGGGGCAAATGGACCAGATCTGTCATGAAAATCCTTTCAAATAGCCAGGAGTATAAGGGTGGGCAGAGAGCACCAACAAACCTCACTTGCTTTCCAGCAATCAAATGGAGTGGGGGAAATGGAGAGGAGAACATATGAATTGCCAGATGATATCAGACCTTTGGGCTGTCTAAGCCAGAGTCCCATTTCTGGCAGTGGCCAGCTCCAGATGCCTTAGAGGAAGCTGTAAATAAGTGAAGCCGTAAATGAAACTGTAAATACCCTGGCAGGTAGTTGGGGGATAATGTGAAGACTTTGGGTTCAGCCCTAACACATGAGTGTTTTTAAAAATTGTTTTCAAGGCATCTTAGTGTTAATAATTCTGAGACAGTTGATAATTTTTAGTCCAAGTTACTGATGGTGTGAGCAGCAGGCATGCCAGCTATCATCATACATGATGGAATGAGAAGAAAAAGAAGGTAGTGAAAATAAAATGGCTATTTTTGTTGCATTTGCTTTCAACAGGAGAGATTAAACTGGAGATGCCCGCTATAAATCTAGATGCAGAGGTGGATGAACTTGCTGCAAATGCCGAAGTAGTTGAAAAACTGGAACACTGTGCAATGACCTGGCTAACATTAATATCAACAGCTGTTGAAGAACAGCTGAAGAAAGTCCCACAGGTAACACGGCTAATAACCTCAGAGTACTAGAGAAGACAGTTCTGCAGTGTACTGAAACTCTTTTTCCCAAGACCAGTCTGCATTCAGTTTTAATTTCTCAGCATAACTGCTTGCCCAAGGGGTCAGATTTTCATGTGTTAATTAATATAAAACAAACCAAAGGTAGTGAAAGAACTCCATGGTTCCTGAGTACTGGAGTATAAAACCACTCACTTTCAAGGTGTCAGTGCACATCTTCCCCAATTATGAAAAGTTGTCTTCAACTGACATTGCTGCTTGATTATCTCTGTTTGGTTATCTCTGTAAAGTGAGTTTTGTGGTTTCAGTCTGCTGATGCAATTAGTACTCATTGCTCACATCTACACATACAATTAGCAGATAGCAATAAACTCAGGCAGCTTTTGGATCTGTCCTCAGGACTGCAGCATGTTAAGCCTGGGCAGGGCCCCCCAGGCATCAGTCTGTCAGCCTGGGGCTGCTCTGACCCGACTCAGTGTGCTGTGGAGGGGCTGTCTGGGGCACGAGGGAGTTAGTGTCGGACTAGCTGGCGCACCTATGCAGAACTGTCTTCCAGGGCCCCGAGCAGCTGGGCTGGCACCTTCAAGGAATGTGGCACGGGGCTGCCTTGGGCCCCACAGCTTGGGCTCAGGGTGGGTTGGGACCACCTGGGAGCTCTGGCACAAGCTGCCCCTGGGCTCACAGGTCCTTGTGGATCCCCAGTCCGGGTCCCTGGGGAGCAGTGGTGATCATGGCTCTGCTCCCTGTGGCTCCGTGGAGGCAGCTGCTGTCAGTGGGTGGGGGCAGGATTCCCACAGAGCCACCTCCTGCATCCCTTGGCCTGTGACGTGTAGCACATCCAACCCAGTGCTGACAGAGCCTGAGCCACACCCAGTGCCACCACCACCCTCCTCCCTGCGCCATTCGGGCTCCTGCCAGGACCTTCATGGAGCCATTGGACCTGCTGGACCCGAGCAGGAGCCCAGGCAGCATGGGGAGGAGAGTGGCAGCTGTCCTGCTTGGTGGCAGTGGTGGTGGCCGTGCTGGGCACAGCCTGGGCTCTGTCAGTTCTGGGATGGAGCCGGGTGTGCGGCGTGGCACAGGCAGGGGCTGCGGGAGGTAGCTCCGCAGGAATTCCACCCCCACCTGCTGGCATCAGCTGCCTCTGTTGCCACCGCTCCTTGGGGGCCTGGACTGGGGATGCATGGGGACCCATGGGCTCGGAGGCAGCTCATGCCAGAGTTCTAAGGCAGTCCCAAGCCTCCCTGAGCCTAAGCCAGAGTGGCTCTGTGCAGGTCCCAGCACGATGCGGGCTCCAGGTGGCTGCAGCAGGAAGGCAGAAGGACACACCTGCCCACAATCCCAATCCAGGGCCCTGAGCAGCTGGGCTGGCAGCACCAGGGGTCTGGGGAAGGCAGCCCGGGGCTGGTACCCAATGAGCAAGTAAGCAGGGAAGTTTGGACCCGGGGCCAGGGCCAGGGCTGGAGTAGCTGCCCCTAGCCTGGGCTGCCCACAACTGCTGCTGCTGGGGCAAAGGCAGGATGAGCCCTCTGGTGCTGGGACCGTGCTCAGGTGGGGCATGTGCCCTGGGCCCAGGGCAGCTCTGCAGAGACTGTGCTTAGATTGGGCATCCTGCCAGGGCATGTGGGGGGCCCCTCCCTCCCAGGCTCCAGATATCCCTGTGGGCAACCCCTCCTACCAGGGCTCCAACACCCCCCCCAACAACCAAAGTACCTGCCTAATTTTGCATAATTGTGAGTTTTTAGCTGTGCCCAGCTAAATTGCAATTAATTGTGAGTAATCTTTTTAACTGCGCTACTAATCACAATCACATTTTTTAATCATTTGACAGACCTAATATATATATATATAAGGAAAGAAAAATGTAAATGAAATCCTTATCTTGGACATATATTTTGAGTCTTTGTAAACACAAACTTGGATAATGAATTCTGCACTTTCAGATGCACCATTATTTGCTCATCCCACAATGAGTGAAGTCAAAATGATAACTGTAAATAATAGTAAAAATGACAGGGATATTCCATTTTAATGTAGCACTAATGTTTCCCTGGAAACATCATCAATATTAAAAAAATTCCCATTGTAAAATTTAATTCTGCACAGCATTATATGTAAAGATAACTTTAGGAATTACAAGCAATGGGCCTATTCATGTACATTAAATTACTCATGTGCATAAACAGTTGCAAGATTGCGGCTGTAGCCTTCTGTCTGCATGAACCCAACTGACTTCAGAAGTCTGATTATGTTGGGTGTATTTTACACTTGGAACCTGTATTGGTAAATATTTCTTCTTAGGAGAGTGCTTTGTATTTCAGAAAGTTCTCATGGCTGTATTATGTAGGAATACTTCCATGTAAGCAACCTTGTTTAATCCTTGAGGCTATTGAAACAAAAGGTTTAACAAATGCCATCTTGGTTATAATTTTCTCTCTGCTGCCTGGAGAGTTCAAATATCTTGTCTTGATTGTTGCCATCTGCAGGGAAATGGCCCACTGGCAGAAATTGACCTGTGGCGTGAAAGAAATGCAACTTTAAGTGCTCTCCATGAACAAATAAAGCTGCCATTAGTGAAAAAAGTCTTGGCCATACTGAAAGAAGCTGAATCTGGACTTAATGAAAACTTGCAGTTGGTCCTAAATGAACTTAACAAACACCACGTAGAAGCTGCGGATAATGTTAGGTTTCTTTCAACTCTGGAGCGCCATTTGAAGGTATATCTATCTAATGACACTTTGGAAAGAGATGCCAGTGTTTGCTTCAATCCCGTTCTTCTATTAATGAAACAAAGGCCGGTGATTTTTATCTTTTTCTCATCTTTTAATCAGTAATAACAATACTGCATTATTTGCTTATATTTAAAGCAAATGCTTGTTTAGCTTCTTTCCCTAAGTGCAGTGTTGATAGTTGCCATCCAAGCAATAACAAAGAAAGTGGATTCTGTTTTGTAGATAAGTGGCTCCTAACCTTTATAACCTAATACACTTTTGCTGCATTAATGCTTGATTCAGCTCTGGTTGATGCTGAGAGTTGGATCAGGGTTTGAAATCTTGGCCATATCAGCTACTGCATGCCAGCTCTCATTTATATCTGTGCCCTCTAGACCCTGAGGGAATGCGGGCTGCTCCAAACCTCCGTTTTGCAACTGGCTGTGGTTGGAGTTGTCTGTTCATCGTATCTGAAAGTGGCCTTAAGCTTAAGGCTTTAGCTGTTCAGTTGGGCAGCCCTGACTAGTATCACAGCTTTGGGCCATCATCAGCCAACGTAGATTTCTGATTTGAAGGCCAGCTCCTGTTGCTGGATTCATTTAAGGTCTCATGTTAAGAGAAATGGGAACTCAGTCAAGGATCCAAAGGCAGATTTGGACAAGTAGGTATCAGGCTTTGGTAGCCTTTAATAGAAACTGGAATTTTAATAAGACAGTGACAGCCTCAGTACTGCAGACTTGTAAACACAAGATTCACGTTAGAGTCACCAATGTGTGTGTTTGCTTGATGGTTAGTAGCTGATTTCTGTTTACGACCCCTGCTCCCTGCAGGTCCATTCGTATCATGGGGTTATTGCGGGGCCCCTGGCACAGCTCTATGAGCGATCGTGGTGCTTGGGCCAGGTGCCAGATGATTGGAAGGTAGCAAATGTGGTCCCCATCTTCAAGAAGGGGAAGAGGGAGGACCCGGGTAACTATAGGCCCGTCAGTCTTACCTCAATCCTGGGGAAACTCTTTGAGAAGATCATCAAGGAGCACATTTGTGATGGGCCGGCATCAGAAATGATGCTCAGGGGCAATCAGCATGGATTTATTAGGGGGAGATCATGTCAGACCAACCTGATTGCCTTCTACGATCAGGTCACAAAGGCCATGGATGCAGGTGTCGCGGTGGATGTAGTCTTTCTGGACTTCAGCAAGGCCTTTGACACCGTCTCTCACCCCATCCTAGTTAAAAAACTAGGTGACTGTGGCATCGATGCCTACACAGTCAGATGGATTGCAGATTGGCTGAGGGGTCGCACTCAGAGGGTGGTGGTGGATGGGTCATATTCGACCTGGGGGGAGGTGGGTAGCGGAGTCCCCCAGGGCTCGGTCCTGGGGCCTGCGCTGTTCAATTTCTTCATCAGCGATCTGGATGATGGGGTGGAAAGTAACCTGTTTAAATTCGCTGATGACACCAAAATTTGGGGGGAGGTGAGCACGCTAGCAGGGAGGGAGAGATTGCAGAGGGATCTGGATAGGTTACAGGGGTGGGCTAACAGGAACAGGATGCGTTTTAATACGGACAAGTGCAGGGTGCTGCACTTGGGCAGTAGGAACCAGCAGCACACTTACACAATGGGGAACTCCCTACTTGAGAGCACGGAGGCAGAAAGAGATCTTGGAGTCATTATTGACTCCAAGATGAACATGGGCCGACAATGCGAGGTCATGGTTGGCAGGGCTAACCGGACCTTGTCGTGCATCCACAGGTGCATCTCGAGTAGAGCCAAGGAGGTGATCCTCCCCCTCTACGCGACGCTGGTCAGGCCACAGCTGGAGTATTGTGTCCAGTTCTGTGCGCCCCATTTCAAGAGGGATGTGGACAATATGGAGAGGGTCCAGAGGAGGGCCACCCGCATGATCCGGGGACAACAGGGCAGACCCTACAGTGAGAGACTGCGGGACCTGAACCTATTCAGCCTCCACAAGAGAAGGCTAAGGGGGGACCTGGTGACTGTCTATAGACTCACTAGGGGGGACCAGAGGGGTTTGGGGGAGACGCTGTTTCCCCTAGCGCCCGCTGGCATAACAAGGAGTAATGGGCACAAGCTGATGGAGAGGAGGTATAGATTGGACATCCGCAAAAACTACTTCACGGTTAGGGCGGCTAGGAGCTGGAACCAACTTCCAAGGGAAGTGGTGCTGGCCCCTACCCTGGGGGTCTTTAAGAAGAGGCTGGATGCCTACCTGGCTGGACTCGTTTGAGTCCCGTTTCTCTTTTTGGGGTTTTTTGTTGTTCTCCCGCCCTGGCGGGGGGTTGGGCTAGAAGATCTACTAGGTCCCTTCCGACCCTTAATCTATGAATCTATGAATCTATGAATCATCTGATGGAGTAAGCTGTTACTTACAAAAGCTTGTGCCTCTCTGAATTAATCTGTAAGGTGCCACTGCTGTTTTCTGCCTCACTTCAGACTAACATGGCCACTTAGCTCCATCCATATGTTTGTTAGTCTCAGAATCTACTGAGTCTAAGTGTTCAGTTTATAGTATATGGATCTGTCTGTGGCAGTCTTATTCACAGCAGTTATCATTCATTTAATAGAACTTGACACATGGCACTGGATTTAATGTTGTCTTGGAAACAATTCGTCCACTGATGAATGCACTGAGAATGGTGTGGATCATCTCACGGCATTATAACAAAGATGAACGAATGATCCCCCTCATGGAACGCATTGCATGGGAAATTTCAGCAAGGGTCTGCAAAGTTGTTGATTTACACACTTTGTTTAGGTAAGTAGCAGCGTCTTGTCTAAGTTGGGGTTATTGGTGACATTTGTTTTCCTACAAGAAGTGTGATAAGTGCCAACGTCACCAAGTATGTTTTAGTTACTTTCATTAGCCCTTGTGACAGATAGCAAATTTAAAGAGAAATTTTAGGTATTTATTACATATACTTTCTTGTATTACTAAAGCAGTGCTGGAGGCATGGGTCTGCTTCTCTTTTGTAAATCTGTTATAAATTGGTAGTAACTTCAGCTGTGATACAAAAAACAAAATAAGTGCTACCAGAATCATCTCTGAAATCTTTCTTTCTTTTGGACTTTTCCAAAACCACATTCATACCGTGTTTTTGACCGTATTATTGCACTTTAAGTTCTGGCTAGTTTTTAGATGAACAGAAGAAATTATTGGACCAAGCTACTATAGTCCCTTTTAGAGCTTGAAAGTTTCATGTTGATATTCTAATAGCTTTGTTTTGGTTAATAGAGAAGATAGAGCTGCTGCAAAAAACAAAATGACAGAAGCCAAAAGGACCCTTGAAATGTGGAAAATAGTGTATTTTGATATTCGTGCCCAAATTGAAGCCTCAGGAAGAGATCAACGATGGGAATTTGACCGAAAACGTCTATTTGAAAAAACAGATTATATGGCTTCAGTCTGTCAAGATCTGTATGATATTTTGCAGGTAGCCAAATAGCAAAATAGATAGCTATTACCTAGAGGGGACTGTATGTATTTTCTCTACCTGAGTGACTCTTTTGCTCTACATTTTATTTTCTCAATAAAATTAAATATTAAAAGCTTTTAAGAAATGTTCCCTTGGGCTTATCTGGTAGATTCTTTGTAATGCCTTTAAAGAGTCAGCATAGTTATTTTAAGAACAAATTATCAGAAATCAGTAGTGAAGCAGTTATAAAATATGAGGATAAAATCTTGGAAAACTGTATGCATGTACATAGCTTTAGACGTGAGCAATCTTGCTGAAGTCAGTGGAACTGCTTGTGTGTACAGTTAAGTGTACTTACATCTCAGAATCAGGGCTCTGGTCTAAAAAAGATAACTGTAATAGTTTTGCACAGCTGTTAACTACAAACATATTTAACACAATCGTGTTTTATAAATTTAACTTTTTATATTAAATATCAATAAATATACTTAGTTTTCTGATAAGGTATTCACTGAACCTCTGGGAATTTTCTATGGTACACTATTTTAGAAAATTTGGCTCATGAAGGTCAGTTTATTGAATGCAGGATAATTTTCAAGAATGGATAGATATTTTTTTTTCATGTTATGACATGCTTAAATAGAAGGTTGTGGATGAATGAGTATTCAGCAGAAAATATATGTCAGATATTCCAGATCTTATACTTGCAAAACTTCACTTGGCATGAATGACAACACTGGCTGAGTAAAATCTGCAATGTTGGACCTGTAGGGTGTGTGGCTCCAGCTGGCCTGGCTCTGGTTTTGGGTGTTGCATGCTTCCACCACGTGCGCCATCCTCCGTTTTTTTTTATGTGGTTTTTTTTTGACCCTGGGATTTCCTTGGTCAACTCCCCACCCTGAGCTGCAAAGCAGCAGTGTGGGGAATGCCTGCTTGTGCAGTGTGTGGCATCGCAGATGGGTTTGTGGTGCCATATACCACACCTCCGGGCTTGTCAAGATGCACCCATAGAGGTTTTTTATATTGAGTTCTTCAGAATCTTTTATAATAATAAGGAAAATATAAATAAGTTTAAAGGGCATTGTAAAAAGAGAACCAAAAGTGTTGCTTTGATAGACAAAAACATTTAAAAATAAAACCTTCTTGTATGTACTTTTGAATAAACAGGTTATTGAAGAATTTTACAATATATTTGGTTCAGAACTGAAGGCTGTTACTGGTGATCCAAAGTGTATTGATGATGTACTGCGAAGGGTTGATGGTCTGATTAGTCCTATGGAAGTATTGACTTTTGACCCTTTTAACATCAAGTGTTCATCGCAGTGGAAATTTGTTATGGAACAGTTTAAAGCAGAAGTTCTGGTAAGCAGCACATCCCATGCTGAGTATTTCTATAACTAGAATATATCTGCCTTCTAGAAATTCAAAATTTGATTTTAAATGAATGAAAGTCTGCTAAGTAGAAATTAAACTAATAAAGTAAAAATTAGATGAAAATAGTCACATATTTTGGTTCAGAATTTTGGATGGAAGCCAGGTTTTTTGTTGTTTTTTTTTATTTTTATTTGTTATGTAGTTGAAGTGTTGGTTAGGACACAATCATGGAGACTGAAGCTATTTGATTATTGGCAGAACAGATATATAGTATGATCAGTGGCAGCATGTGCCTTCTAGACTCCCGCACGCTAACTTTTCTTAGTTGTGACCTGAAGACTAGAACTTAAACTTTTCTATCGCAGGTTTGTTTAGTTCCTTACCTCTCAGGTGAGGATACCAAGAAAAGGACCAGTTGTTATTATGCTTCTTGTGATGTAGGTAACTGGACTAAGACTCAGCAAACTCATGTCATGTAGGCCACTGAGGCAGAATCAGATGGTTAAAAATATAATGTATACATTCAAATAAAGACTAACAAATTCTTCAGTAGAAAGTAAATTGTTTTTTTTCCACATTTCTTCTTGCTGTCTCCACAAGGTTATTTCATAAACAATTGAATTTCTTGACTACATTTTCCCATGTCTAGGTTATTGAAAAAGAGGCTAAGAGCTTTATTGATGAATCCTTTAAGACTCTTCGGTCAGCGGAAGCTGCATTCGACATGCTCTTAAATTTTAAACACATCCGCTCTCGAGATGCCATCAATAAGCAGATGATGATGAAATTCAATGATATTCTTGATCAGTATTGTAAAGAGGTATTTCACTTAAGAATTTCTTAAGGAACACAAGAAGTTCTCTGCCAAGCTGAAGTCTCCCTCCCTGAACAGTCACTCCCTATTTATGTGCCTGGGCTCTTCTGTAGCCCTTTTCACCACGCATCTGAGAGGCCCTCAGATATTTAGAAATGACCACAACAGTCACACTTTCTTTCTTCCCAGCATGTAGGAGAAATAGTGGGATTGATTTACAGGCATCTTTATGTGTCTCTTCCTATGGGAATGAATCTGCTGGGTCAACAAGATTGAGTGTGCATTTGGTTCTGAATGAGGTTGGCTTTGGTGTGGTTGTTTCTTGTGGGTATAATGTCCACAATGTTCCATAACCAGTGAAACAGTATGAAAATTCTGCCTCCTGGAGTTTTGAGTATCCCTGTGCTGGATGACAGTTCATGATCCTAATGGAAAGCAGCACTTGTGGGAGATCGGGACAATGGGCTCAGTTTTCTCTCCTCTACTTTCAGCTATTGGTCTTGATTGTTTCAGTAATGGATGTGCCCAGTGTTGGACACTGTTTCCTTTTGATGGTCTGCTTGCCTCAGATTCTCTGTATACTGTGATTAATGCAAAGGAAAGAGTCCATGGAAAAAAATAATGAATTGTTTTTGTTCTGCTGCTGGAATTAGCAGTTGAACCGTTTCCTGTGTATCATATTAAGTGGTAATAGTGGAGAGGGGAAATAAGATGCTTCTGACAACTTCTCACAATTTTTGGTTTTTTTTTTTTCAGCTTGACATAGTTAATGACATCTTTATCCAAAACGTCAGTAATCCACCTTTGTACAAAAATCATCCTCCTATGGCTGGTGCAATATATTGGGCACGATCTCTTTTTTACCGTATCAAGCGCACTATTGTTCGGTTTCATGAAGTAGAGGAGTTGCTGGCTAGCGAGCGCGGAAAAGAAGTATGTTGGCTTTACTGATGTTTAAATAGAGTTAGGAATTATCAGTGACATTTGAATGCTTGAGAGAGATTAAAGTCACAGTACATAGTATATGTAAATATATATCCATGTTATACGTAGGGAAATTGAGACTTAGACGGATTGTGTTTTGCCCAAACATGAGAAGGTAGTCACTGAAATGGCAGTAGAGCTCAGGAGTCTGGATTCTCAGTTTCCTGCATTAACCACAGAATGTACTTGTTCTCTGAATATAAAGAGGTCTTGAAAACCACTTTAAGTAGTTACTTTCAGACAAGGGAATGTCAGCTCTTTTTTTAAGGAGCAAGATGAACTTAACTTGAATTCTTGCTTACAGGTAAAACAAAAATACCTGGGAGTAGCTAAAAGAATGAAAGAATATGAAGATCTGAAATATGACCAATGGAGAGACTGGACAGAACAGACACTCCCAATACTACTGAAAAAGACCTTGCTTGCTAAAGTCCATCCTTCTGGAGCCATAATTCAAAGTAATCCAGACACCTCTGAGCAGGTAAGGGGAAGAAAAGTTGTTTATCAGTCCTTTGTACTTTGGGCTTCATTTATAGCCATATTTCTCTCAGATGAGGTTTTTTTCAAGTGGTTTCTTAAAAATAGGACCTTTACTATGAAGGGGAAATGTCAGTTCTTCTGAACACAGAATTGTTTTGGGTCCTGCATGAAATACCTACAGTCATATTCATTACAGTTGTTGGATGGCCTGGGAGATGCATGAACTCTGGTGTGTTTTGTGCCATGGTTTCTTTAGATTCATAGATTCATAGATTAAGGGTCGGAAGGGACCTAGTAGATCTTTTAGCCCGACCCCCCGCCAGGGCGGGAGAACAACAAAAAACCCCAAAAAGAGAAACGGGACTCAAACGAGTCCAGCCAGGTAGGCATCCAGCCTCTTCTTAAAGACCCCCAGGGTAGGGGCCAGCACCACTTCCCTTGGAAGTTGGTTCCAGCTCCTAGCCGCCCTAACCGTGAAGTAGTTTTTGCGGATGTCCAATC